AATTTGACACTTCAAGAAGGGTTGATGAAAACTGCCGCGTGCTGGTTTATCCTATCCATGTTTGCTTTCCTATCGGTTCTTGCATACCTTTTACTGTTTAGCGAATCTTTGCTTTAGTGTGTTACGTTTACTCATTACTAAGACAAAAATCAAAAACGTCTATTTTCACTTTTGACAGTGTATCTCTTTGCGAGTGAAATGGGGTCGTCAGATAAGCCGCCCATATATACTGTTTATGTTCATGTGTTGGCAATTGGCCTGTTATTAACATACACTGGTTACCTCTAATAAAAACAGCAGTGCATTTCCGCAGTTTTGTATTGTTTCTGAATATCCCCCTACTTTTTTTGAAGAGTATATTAGAAACAAGGCAACAGTCAGGCTGATGTCCGCTGCCGAAATACCAAAATAAAGATGATACATATTAATTAATCACACATTTATTTTTTTACAAAAGGATCGAGCAATCAAACTATACACAAAGTTTCAACACTCTCTATCAGATAGAATCAAGATTATCTTGTCCCAAAGCATCGACAACAATGAAATTGATTCGCTCGAAATGTTAATCATTGAACTCAGTCATGACATTCACCTAATGTACATCTACATCAAGTTTAAGCATTTTTTAATATCAGTTATCTTTTTAAATAAAGCAACCAAACTGCAGTCGCCTTGACACCAAAAGTTTTCTGATATGAACCCTAAATAAGCTTGTGCACGCTTTTACATGTATAAATAGAATCCACTAATAAATAGAGTCCACTAATATTTCACAGATTATAATCCAACTGCTGTTCAAGTTAGCATGCTCATAAAAGAGAAATGGCATCTATTAACCGGATCGGACATGTGCCATTCCATCTCAAACATCAAACCAATCACGGCATTTAGGAGTAATCCTAATTTGAAGGATACGCTGATGAAAGCAAGATTCATCCATCCACCACGGGACCCGCAAACCAGCGGAGTCACATTTCAAAAGCTATTCGAAAAATGTATCAAGAAAGACTGTGATATCTGCTACAAATTAGACCAAAATATCTACTTTATTAGTGGTAAAACTGGCAAGAAATATTCCTGCCACACGGGCTATAATTGTTTAAGTAGAAATATAGTCTACCTATTAACATGCTCCTCCAAAAAACAATACGTACGTAGGAGAAAGCAAATGTGTCTTTTCAAAATGAATAAAGGAACACTATGCAGCTATTATACACAACAGGCCAAAGCTGGTCGCGCTACACTTCAACTTACATAGACATACGAGTAGAAATGTTATGATTAAAATTATAGAGCTTTTTAAGACTGACCCAGATAACGGCAAAAACGATGCCGTAAGGAAAGCCAATGAATTCAAATGGATTCACACTTTAAGAACATTCGCACCGGATGGCATTAACGATAAGATGTAGTCCCGAGGGGTCCCCCACTTTATTGTTTACTCTTTTTCCCCACTGACCCCTTTGCACTACGTTCTTAAAATTCCGTTAGCTATTTCTCTCGTGTGCATACCCTTTTTTGGAACTTGTATCATCGACTCTGCTCAAAATACCTGGCACATTGCCAAGAATATCTTTGCACACTTTCCGGAATAATCGACTCCGGTGCCAAAGATCGACTCCGGTCCATCTGTGACATCACATGTGCTCCGGTGCCCACCGACACTATATATAGAGGGCCACCGCACATCCTCATTTTAGCCTGAAGAGTTCGAATAAGAACGAAACTAGTAGCTGAGCGAAATCTGGGAAGGCTGTTCGCCTATTTACAGATTTTTTACTAGAATTGTTCCTTTGATCAAGAAGGCGTTTACTTGATTGCTGACCCCGTGCTCTACACGAACAATTTGTGAAAATGTAAGATGCGAAGTCTGAAATGGTCGGGTTAACGTTTGAATTATATGGAGGGTTTTTTTTATCAAATTTTATATAGTGCAAATTTAAATATACCAATAATAATGTAAATGGAATCACACAATTGTTCAGTGCTTAGTGGGTTTTATATGGTGCAAATTTAAAGAACCAATATTAATGTAAATGGATATTCACACGATCAGTGCTTAGAATTTCAGCTTGTATGTATGCATAGGTATGTGTATGAAATCCATTATTTCTGTTATCTATTATCATATTATCTGTTTCAATACATTCAGTGAAAACAGATTTGTTGATCTTTTTTTAACCATTAGTGATTCCAAATTCAAACCATACAGATATAAAATCCTGCCTACCCCAAAACATGTGCCAATCCGCATGTAACGAGAATAACTATAAATTGTCAATTAAATAACAATACACATTGTGCCGTATTCTACTTGGGGCAAATGTTGTAAGTTCGTTCATTCATTCCTCGAGTTTTACTTCCACCGGGAACGGGTACAAATAGTGTGACGAATCAAACCTTGCCATTGAGCATTTAAATGCATATTTAAATATGAAGGTATTTATGAATCGATCTGTCTAGCCCATCTTCAGTGTCTTTTGCCCACTACGGCTGTAATCGAAATCGCCAACAAATATTCCTGTTGTTCATTGCCATCCTTTATCCCATTTATGACGAGTATGAATCATTTCGCACCTGTCATTTGGCTGTAGCGAATCAACTCGCCGACCCATCATACTTGGCAACGGCATTAGCGAACAAAAACGCCAGATCAATCAACTGATTTCTATTGTTTTTATTTCTTAAATTAATGGCGATTGAGTAATAAAAATAAAACACACAATGAAAAGGAACGTTATGTTATATTCGCTAATTATCGAATAAAATACATACGTTACAACAAAGGATCTTCTGGTATTTACGTAATAGGTCAGAGGTGAAAATTCGCACCGTGTCAATGACTTTGGCATTATTCCAATATTTTCACATTGTCACTTACGGCTAATAATTTTATGATATGGTGAGTGAAATGGAATCAGATTTTTTATGATTTACTGGCAGACATATCGTGGAATATGATAATGTCGAAGGAACCAACTATTTATATTTTTTTTCACGTTATAATGAAAAGAATACGTATACCCCAGACAAGATCAAGTGCGGAAGCCATCTTGGAACGCTTCCAGACAGAAGATACCACAAAACTTATGGATAATAATTCTGGACTTTGGAAAGCTAAATTGAATCAAAACTTTTAGGATTTGATACAAGCTACATAGAGGAATATTACATTGCCAAAGATTTCAACCAAATTTTTTTATTTTCCACACAATGAAGCAAAGAAGACAACAATTTCCACCATATATCCAAAGCAGAAAAGTCAAATGCCGATAGCGATGAAGTAACGGTCATTTGGGGCGATATGTCTTCATTAGCCCAGTTCGGAGCAAAACAGTAGGACGTTAAACTCCATTTCATTTCATTTCATTCATTTTAAAAGTTATATTTATATTTACTTTGAACACTGCTGCCAACGGGACTATATTGTCGTTCTACCTTTTAAAAAAAAAAATTCGTAGGGAATACTTGTTCACGTTATTTTACCATTATGACAGAGAAAAGTCATAATTTTAGTGGAAGTGACTTTTCAATATTATTTATTGTAATATAATTGCCCCTTTGTACAATTGAATTTTATATCATTGGAAAAAACACCACAATCTGTACATTTTGGTAACTAAGTATTTCTTTGTATAGAAAATATTTTTTTAGTTATTTGCAGTTATTAGGATTAACAATAATCCACTAATTGAATTAGGGAGATGGGCCCTGCTGATTTAATGAGTCTAGGGGTAGGAAGCTAATCTTTTAATTGGCTCTAGAGTTAAATGGGTTAAAAACATTTCCAATGATTCAAGAATATTAATAAATAATTAATCATTTATTCAGGATGTAGTAATGATTAAACAGAAAAAGTCGTAACTGACGTCGGTTCAAGTTACTGACGCAGATCAAAGATAACTGTCGGTTTCACCCAGATAGTGAACGGTAGCCCCAATAGTGACGCTTTCTTAATTAGTCATGCGTTTGCCAGTTTCTACTGCAGACACCTCAAGTTTCTTTAATTACTCCAAAGTAAGGGATACTCATCGATTAACTTAAATACTCACCTTATGATTATTACTGACCATTTATAGGAACACTAACGCACGGCGCAAGTACTAATGGGTTTAAGCGACTACTGACAACATGTATACTCAGAGATCAGTTCTATCCACTATGCATCTTGCCGTGCAAGATTCCATACACTTTAAATATTAAAGATAGGTTGCCAGGCAACGAAACATACGCCCACAGCAGCTAAATCGTCTGGGGAGTCAACAAGAGTTGTCACATATTTTTTCTTTTTTTGGTAATTAAACATTTATAATACATTAAAATCTGATTAAGAGTAACAACTAATTAAGTAATTATCAGAAAACCATTAGAATTTGTTTGGTTTTTATAAAGTTCTGCCCCATGCTAATGTTTAGTATATGAAACTTTTAACATCATGAATTTAGTTGTTCAAGTCATAAAAATTCATTGCAAATCAATATACTTGTTCGTCTCAAGACTTTAAACTCTGTGTATCATACTATCAATCTGAAGTCAATCAGATGATAACTTTAGCCTCTAGAGCGTCACAAGATTTTTCAAAGTGATCAAGGGCCATAACTCTGGCAGTAATTATCGAAATTTGTTGAAAATCAATATGATTCTTCGTCTCATGACCTCAAACACTGTGTATAAATTTAAAGTCAATTGGATATTAACTGTAGCCTCTACAGCATTTACAAGAATTTTTGAAGTGATCAAGGGCCATAACACTGGCAGTAATTATCAAGAATTGCTGAAAATCAATAGGCTTCTTCGTCTCATGACCTTAAACACTGTGCATAAATTTAAAGTCAATTGGATATTAACTTTAATCCGACGGACGGATGGGGGTGACGACAATATACGACCACATTTCAATGTGGGCGTATAAAAACTAGTTTGCAAGGGTAAATCAATATCGTGATATTTGTTTCCAGGTCTACTGATGTTCTCAAAAATTCTAAATTTCAACTTACTTGAAACAGTTATTGTGAAACTTGTTATAACTGGATAATGTAATTAAACCACCCCAGGCTGGACTTAAAGCAAAAAATATCTGTACAGCAGCTGCTACCCATGTCTGAAAATACAAGCCAACAGTGAGGCTGATGTCCCCCGCCGAAATCCCAAAATAAATAGATGACACACATTAATTAATCGCACATTTATTTTTTTTTCCAGAAAGTATCCAGTAGACGTGGTACAAGGGTTAATCAGCGAACTGGATGTATGAGATGTGTTGTTGACGTTTGGGAAATGTGTAGGGAGTGAAGTGCTGTAAAGGGATAGTTAGATGTATTATGAATGGTTAGAGTGGCTGTGGTGTTACGGTGAAATACCATGCCGCCACCGTAACACCACAGCTTTATGATTTGTTAGACAGGAGTGATGTAATGGGTGTCAACAACTGGGTATGCTGGTACCGTCGCAACGTAGCCGTGAAATATATATTGTGGGGGGGAAGGGCGGAAACGTAAAAATATACAATGTTGACAGTATGTGCCAGGCATGAGGCTGCGCAGACCGAGCGGCAGCTCGATAGGGAGTGTGTGGGAGGGTCACCCTCATAAAATTTTTTTTTTTAAAATTTCAGTTTTCTGTAAGCAGTGAAAACACTATTTTGGCATTGTTTGCGGGGTTAAACCTAAAAATCACATTAATACACCTATTGCACGATATTGTGAAACTAGCTGACGAAGACAGCTCGGGCGGCGATTGTTCGACTCGGGGCTGCTCTGTCAGTATCTAACAAACGCATTTAGTTCGCGTACAACTTTTAAAAACCGAATGTCAGTATGGTATTTCTCACATAATTGGTTATCGCAAAAACAGAGTAAACTGAAAGCGAGTAATCTCGACTCAAACCTATAGTCTATAGCCTACTTACTACACTCGTCACTAGGCTTCCTATATTATTGTTTGTGGACGGTTTACTACTCAGTGATAAGCCTGCGCCGCAAAAAGAGGTCTCGCCTTTTATTATTAGTATAATGACTTCCTCATGTGCGGCAGGTAAGTTTGCTTCTAAAAACACTGTTTTCCGTTCCAAAAAATACAAAAGTAATTTTCTACCAGATGACCATGGTTCTTTTCACCGAGACTAGATAATTTCTCTCGGTGTAAGGATATAGCTATGGATAAGTTCATACAAGGTCAATAAATCCGCGGTCACTTCGGGTCACACTGTTGAGAAAATAAACCGATGGGTTTGTTTAGTAGCAAATCTAGCGTGAATCAACTGAGTTTGTACTGAAAAATTTTTCAGTGATATGTATGAACTGTCTTCACACATTCGGTTTATAATTAGCGATACACAGGTAAAGTGGCAAGTGTTGTACTTCACAGACTGTTTACCTCCGAACTACCTCCGCACGAAATCCCCGATTTGGGTACTTGTTAAAAGAAAAAGAAATAGTACCTGTGCGCATGCCAGTAAAAAAAAACTTAAGAGTTCGCGCATAAAAATGCCCGAACGTACCAGGCGCCAGGTCATCAAGCAATCAAACTATACACTAAGTTTCGTCACTCTCTATCAGATAGAATCAAGATTATCTTGTCCCAAAGCATTGACCAATGAAATTGATTAGCTCTGCTTAGCTTCAGCTCGAAATGTTAATCAATGAACTCAGTCAAGACATTCACCTAATGAACATCTACATCAAGTCTAAACATTCTACCTCAATTAAAAGCAGAGTTGTTATGTTTCAAAGTCTTGACCAATCAAATTGCTTATCGGTTTCATTAGCCTAAGCAGAAAATTCTCACCATCGAAATTAGTCAAGGTAATGATATAATGAATATATATTCGGAGTTCCATAGCTCCCACTTCATTATAACCAAAGTTATCGTGCATCAACCAATCAGATTGCTTATTTCTGCTTACCGTAAGCAGACAATGTTCATCATAGAACTCCATCAAGGCATTCACCTAATGAATGCCAAGTGTGAACATTATAACTCAATTAGAATGAGAGTTATTGTGTTCCAAAGTCTCGACCAATCAAATTGCTTCTAGCTCTGCTTACCCTGAGCAGAAAATGTTCATTATCAAACTTATTCCAGGTATTGATGTAATGAAACTATACACCAAGTTTCATCACTCTCACTTAATTAGAACTAAAGTTATCGTGTCCAAAAGCATCAACCAATCAAATTGCTTATCTCTGCTTACCTTAAGCAGAAAATGCTCATCTTCGAACTCCATCAAGGCATTGACCTAATAAACACCTACACCAAGTTTGAAGATTCTAATTCAATTAGAAGGAGAGTTATTATGTTCCAAGGTCTCGACCAATCAAATTGCTTATCGCTCTGCTTACCCTGAGCAAAAAATGCTCATAATCGAACTTAGTCAAGTTATTGATGTGATGAAACTATACACCAAGTTTCATCACTCTCACTTAATTAGAACTAAAGTTATCGTGTCCCAAAGCATCAACCAATCAAATTGCGTATCTCTGCTTACCCTAAGCAGAAAATGCTCATCTTCGAACTCCATCAAGGCATTGACCTAATAAACACCTACACCAAGTTTGAACATTCTAGCTCAATTAGAAAGAGAGTTATTGTGTCTCAAAAAGTGTGACGGACGGACAGACAGATGGACATACCCATTTTAATAGTCATCTGCTTTCTTCGAAAGGCGGGGGACAAAAAGAAAGTTAAAGTAATCCATAAAAACATTTCTATGTTGTACATGATGATGTCAATAAGTATTCACTAGTGTTGATAACTCATAATCATAAAACTAAACAAAACAAACTATTGTTTATTTCTGGGGAACTTTGCAGTTTGTCAACTACTGTAATAGATGGTTCTTCGTATACAGAAATTACCCATAATTCATTGTGCTATCGCCATCTTGTATGGGAACTTGCGGTTAACTAATCTGTCACTCTTAATTATCCATGTCAAACATTATCCGTTAGTACACCAACACTCTTAAATTGATTTTATCCTTATTTTGATCCATATGAATATCGCAATTTAAAATAGTTTTATTTCTTCGACATCAGCATGACTTAAATTGCTCACCTTCAGCAACTCGGAAGATTCATGTTATTAGTATAATTACATAACGCGAATTCACGTGGATTCCTCCAAATTAAACATGTACCCAAATTTAAAATTTGAATGAATTTAAAATAAAGACATTGAAAAATGTTTTGAATTCTGAAATATCAATAATTAGATATCAAAACACGACTTTGATGCACCTGGACGTACTGGTACAGCATTTATTCTATTATAAACCACGTGTGACATGTCACACCTAATAGAATTTCGTTCGTACATCCCAACTATATTTACAAAAAAAATTATATTTACAAAATACTTTCCTGACCAATTCATAGACAATGAGACCCAGAGCCAGGAAAAACACTCTTTTTTTCGGCCGATCAAATTTTTCGAGCAGTTGCCAAATAATAAAAAAAAAATTTTTAAGTGGATATATGAAATGAAAAATTATGAATTTTTCCATCCCGCAAAATAAAGTGCCCAAAATTGCGAACCTTTATTCACTATATTTACGCTAAAATATTTGTAAATTACTCTCCTGATGAAATCATTGGCGTACGAGCCCCGGAGCCAGGCAAATAATATTTTTTTTCGGGCAATCATCAAATTTTTTGGACAGTGGCCAGGTCCACATTTTCGAGAAATGGATAGAGAACAAGCTAAAAAGAAAGTGATTTTTCCTACAATCAAGGGCCATAATTCATGAAGTTACAATTCGATATGCGCAAATGTCGAAAGGAACCAAGGTCTTTGGGTTATAAAGATGCATTTCAAGTTTCATCAAAATCGGATTAAAATTGTGACCTCTACAGGGTCCACAAACTTGATATACCATATTTTTACATTCGCGTACAAGCGGCGGCCATTTTGTCCGGATTTTCAGGAAATTCGAACTCAACCTTTATTACGGTGTAACGGTGATATAATCAAACGTTTTTTTAAATCGGATAATAATTCTGACCTCCAGAGGAACCACAAGCTAAGAAAGGCGATTTTTTGTACAATCAGGGGCCATAATTCAGGAAGTTACGATTCAATATGTGCAAATATCGAAAGGAACCAAGATCTTTGGGTTATTAACATGCATGTCAAGTTTCATCAAAATCAGATTACCAGCGGCTGCCAGGCAGGATATGCCCACCTTTTCGAGAGATGGATAGAGAACAAGCTAAAAAGAAAGTGATTTTTCCTACAATCAAGGGCCATAATTCAGGAAATTACAATTCGATATGCGCAAATATCGAAAGGAACCAAGATCTTTGTGTTATAAACTTACATTTCAAGTTTCAACAAAATTGGATAAAAATTGTGACCTCCATAGGATCCACAACCTTGATATACCATATTTTTACGCTATTTGAGAACGAAGGACGGACATTTTGTCTGTCAGTTTTGAGCCGATTTTCACGAAATTTGAACTCAGCCGTCCTTAGGGTGTAGCGGTGATATAATAATACGTTTTTTTAAATCGGATAAAAATTATGACCTCTTATAGGGTCCATAAGCTAAAAACGCAATTTTTCGTACAATCAGGGGCCATAATTCAGGAAGTTACGGTCCGATATGCGCGAATATCGAAAGGAACCGCGATCTTTGGGTTATAACTTACATTTCAAGTTTCAACAAAATCGGATAAAAACTGTGACCTCTATAGGGTCCACAAGCTAAAAACGTGATTTTTCGTACAATCAGGGGCCATAATCCATGAAGTTTTGGTCCGATACATGCCAATATCGAAAGCAACCAAGATCTTTAGGAGATGCAGATTAACCTACACACCACACAAACTAGGTAATTTTGTGACTAATATATGGTTCAATTTTATTTTAATAATTTGCTATCAATTTTAAAATAAGTATTTGCGAATCATCACAGCATAAGAATATAGTCAGTGTTGATCCCAACAACTTAATCGGTTGGTATAGTTCTTGGTCGGGTTTTGGTGTCATTAGTTATGTAGGAACATGTTCTATCTGGATGAAGATTAACCAACACTCCACACAAACTAGGTCATTTAAGGACTAACATATGGTTCAATTTTATTTCAATAATTTGCTATCAATTTTAAAATAAGTATTTACAAATCATCACAGTGTAAGAATATAGTCTGTGTTGATCCCAACAACTCAATCGGTTGGTAGTTCTTGGTCGGGTTATGGTGTGATTAGTTATGTATGAACATGTTCTATCTGGATGATGAACCGAGCATTTGTGTAGTTTCCTATGTGTATCTGACGTATATAGCATAAGTCAATGATTAGAGCATTATTATTCATTGTTTCTTTATGGTTTTGGTGGGTTTTTGGACCATGTGACATACAATTCTGCGCATGGAGGAGTGATTTATGATGTATGGCACCGTTCTGTATGGATCTTTGAAATAGATTTAACTGAACCTTCGAGTAAAGAAGTAATGTGTAAAAGCCCATTGTATTTAATCTAAAATTTGGATATGATACCAGCCAATTATTAATGGATTACATCTACTTGCCACTATGTGGAAGTTATGGACGAAGACCAAATGATACATTCAAGAAATTTTAAGTTGTTCACCTGTGTTCTTAATCGACTGTTTTTTGTTGGCTTCAGCCGATTGATGTTTAATCTAGTCGAATGGTAAAACAATGAACCGGCCACTATGGTATCATAAATCAATCTACTATCGGCTAAATTACATCAGGTTAATTATTACATGTTTATTAAGAAGTCAATCAACTTGCTTGTCGGCTACAACAACAGCCATACCTTAGTGAGAATCGGCCATGTGGTTCATAATCTGAGTAGCCTAATTAGCACATTTAACGGTAATTTGGATAAAACAAGCTTGCTGATTATTCATAACAGGTTCAGTAAGCTGCTTTTGTAAAAATAGCCCACGTGGCGAAAGAAGACAATCGAGCGTCTTCCACGCTCCGTATGAATTCCATGTACCAGTAGATATTAAAATAATAACTGGATCATACATTGATGGATTCACCGACCAGTTGTTAGGTAAATATATATCTTCATTGAGTATAATCCCCTGATAGAACACTGAATACACCGAGAAACAGTCATTAATAATATATTTTTCAGATAGAATCTCCAATACCGAATTCCAATGACACGGGACATATCGATTGGAAATAGGTCAATAAACAAGTTTTTAAATACATTTACCGTTAAATTATTTTTTTAATTATATTACACATTTTTATTGAAGGCTATGTCATCATTGTATGGAATTTTATTTTGAAGCCAATTTCAATTATGATTGTCACGTGACAATTGTGCCGTTTGTCTATCATCTAGGAACGAATAAAAACTTTTGCAAGTTATGTGACTAGTTACGTGATAGACAAAAAGCTACAAATTGTGTTATGAAGAAATGCCATGGTGCCATATCAGTTTATTTTGGCTGCAGCATTTTCTGATACTGGCAATAGTAGAAAAAAGCTAATATTTTTGCTCATCGACTGATGAAACACAAACATTTCATCGAATAAACGAAGATAGTAATTTATTCAGTATCACTGATGTGAACTTGAAAGCTGGTACGTGAATTAAATATGGAAAATTTTCCAAAAGTGTACCTAATTGTCGTTATTTTTGTGGTAATTACATACATCAGGATACGACATTCTCCATAACAAATTACCAAGAATTATTTTTGTTGAAGTCTCGTTATATTAAAGGGAATGGAAGCTTATAATTAACCCATTTCCTACCGGGACCTCATTTGACCCAATTCTGGCCGATTCGTTTCAAAATGGATTAAGAACCCTGTTGTTCACTGTTCACATACATGTACGTAAAAAAAAAAATCTTAACCAATATAGACTACCGGTAAACATTTTCCTCAGATTAATTAACAAATCATTGGGTTTGTATTCAAACTGGCCTGTATGTTATAAATGTACACGTTTTCACGACAGCATCATTATTTTACATGGCTTCAAATTTATCATAGACAATATTAGTTTGATCCTCGCTTCCTCGCTCAAAATTTAAATACATGTATTCAACTGAAATAAAGTACATCTTTCTTTAACCAGGTAGAATTGGGACGATATTGGCACACTAGCAAATCACTAAGAATCGCCTGCAATTCATGTTTTTTTTTCTGCCGTGTTCACAGATTTGAGATCCAAACTCTTGCAGCCTTCTGTTGTAAACAATAGCGATAACTACTATGAGTACATATAATCTTGTTTAATCATTTTATGTGCTCTTTAATATTTAACTGTAAGCATCAACTCAAACGTTACTTGACGCTCGAAAATACATCTACTGGAATGCGAAAAAATAATTATAAATATTTTCAATATCTTATGGAATGCAAAAAAGTAATTATAAATATTTTCAATATGACGTCCATTGCAAACTGAAAATAGGAGCACAAGTTGTGATTATAGAAACCACCATGATCTTCAGAATACCACTTGTGTACTGTTATTATTGTTAGCACATTTTTTTCTCCTGTATAACTTATGGAAAAAGTATTACAAGTAGTTGAATATACCTAATCTAACTATTTTTAAATATTCACCTTTGCCATTTTAAGCTGTGCGAAGTCAGGTGTGAGGTAATATATGATACCATCTTTAGCTCCTGGCAATGTTACACCACGGAAAAACAAAATTGTCAACACAAAATATGGAAATAAAGCTGTAAAGTACACAACCTGTAGTATAAAAAAAAAGAAAAAAAAAAAAAAAAAAAAAAAGTTAAATTACCAATTTTCCAAATAGGGCAAATTTGTAGCATTACACGATTTAAAACTTTTCACATTATATAATTTAGACAAAATATAAATGCCTAGAATACCAGTCTTACATTTTAAATACGTCCATACATCAGCTATATATAGACATAGACAGCAGCTTATCCGAAAGGAAAACTTGGATGTTAACCAAAAGCTTTTTTTGACACATAATATATGTGACCTGTGGCAGCAAAATCAGTCAATGGTGAACAATAGTTTGAAATGTTTTTGTTTTTTTTTTCAGAATTTTAAATCATTTTTTAACAAGCCAACAGTGAGGCTGATGTCCCCTGCCAAATCCCCAAATAAATAGATGACACATTTTGATTTATCGCACATTTATTTTTTTCCAAAGAATCGAACATTTACAATCAAACTGATTATCAACTATACACTAAGTTTCATCTCTCTCTATCAGATAGAATCAAAGTTATCTCGTCCTAAAGCCTTAACCAACGAAACTGCTTAGCTCTTCTTAGCTTTAGCTCGAAATTTTGATCATTGAACTCAGTCAAGAGATTCACCTAATAAACATCTACATCAAGTTTAAACATTCTACCTCAATTAAAAGCAGAGTTGTTACGTTCCAGTCTTGACCAATCAAATTGCTTATCTCTCCTTAGCTTAAGCAGAAAATTCTCATCATCAAACTTAGTCAAGGTAATGTTATGATGAATCTATACTCAAGAGTTTCATCACTCTCACTTAATTATAACCAAAGTTATCGTGCCCCAAAGCTTCAACTAATCAGATTGCTAATCTCTGCTTACCGTAAGCAGACAATGTTTATCATCGAACTAGATCAAGGCATTCACCTAATGAATGTCTACACCATTCTACCTCAGTTAGAAGGAGAGTTACTGTGTTCCAAAGTCTCAGCCAATCAAATTGCTTATCGCTCTGCTTACCCTGAGCAGAAAATGCTCATTATCGAACTTAGTCAAGGTATTGATGTGATAAAACTATACACCAAGTGTCCTCACTCTCATTAAATTATCGTGTCCCAAAGCATCAACCAATCAAATTGCTTATCTCTACTTACCGTAAGCAGACAATGTTTATCATCGAACTCCATCAAGGCATTCACCTAATGAACGTCTACAACAAGTTTGAACATTCTACCTCAATTAGAAGGAGAGTTATTGTGTTCCAAAGTCTCGACCAATCAAATTGCTTATCGCTCTGCTTACCCTGAGCAGAAAAAGCTCATTATCGAACGTAGTCAAGGTATTGATGTAATAAAACTATACACCAAATTTCATCACTCTCACTTAATTAGAACTAAAGTTATTGTGTCCCAAAGCATCAACCAATCAAAAATTGCTTATCTCTGCTTACCCTACGCAAAAAAAGCCCACCTTCGAACACCATCAAGGCATTGACCTTATAAACACCTACACCAAGTTTAAACATTCTACCTCAATCAGAAGGAGAGTTATTGTGTTCTAAAGTCTCGGCCAATCAAATTGCTTATCGCTCTGCTTACCCTGAGTAGAAAATGCTCATTATCTAACTTAGTCAAGGTAATGATGTAATGAAACTATACACCAAATTTCATCACTCTCACTTAATTAGAACTAAAGTTATCGTGTCCCAAAGCATCAACAAATCAAAATTTCCTATCTCTGCTTACCCTACGCTGAAAAAGCCCACCTTCGAACACCATCAAGGCATTGACCTAATAAACACCTACACCAAGTTTGAACATTCTACCTCAATCAGAAGGAGAGTTATTGTGTTCTAAAGTCTTGGCCAATCAAATTGCTTATCGCTATGCTTACCCTGAGCAGAAAATGCTCATTATCTAACTTAGTCACGGTAATGATGTAATGAAACTATACACCAAATTTCATCACTCTCACTTAATTAGAACTTAAGTTATCGTGTCCCAAAGCATCAACCAATCAAAAATTTCTTATCTCTGCTTACCCTACGCAGAAAAAGCCCACCTGTCAATTTATGATTTTACCCCCAACAAATTGCAAGGAAACATTTTTATGCCTTTTTGCATTTATTTAGGTATGCTGTATAAAATCCCAAAAGTTTACCAAATTTTGTGTACCAGAAAGCCGTAAAATCCAAGATGGCCGACATTTGCCTAATCAATGTACAAGAAAACCCCGAACTGTTAGTTTAAGACCCTATAAATGTATTATGAACATATAAATTAATGCCTTTGGGGTCATTCTTTCATTTGAAGATATAGCCAGTAGTGTTACTGGTCACTGATAAGGGGGGGGGGGAAATTAGTAAAATCAAAGAAGGCCGAATTCGCCAAATCAATGTACAAGAAAATTTTAACTGTTTGGTTTAAGACCCTATAAGTGTAATATGAACATGTAAATTAAAGTTTTTGGGGTCATTATTTTATTTGTTATAAACTTACATTTCATGTTTCATCAAAATAGGATTAAAATTGTGACCTCAATAGGGTCCACAACCTTGATATACGCTATTTGAGAACGAAGGGCGGCGATTTTGTCTGTCAGTTTTGGACTGATTTTCACGAAATTCGAACTCAGCCATCCTTAGGGTGTAACGGTGATATAATCATACGTTTTTTTAAATCAGATAAAAATTATGACCTCTATAGGGTCCACAAACCTCAAAACGCGATTTTTTGTACAATCAGGGGTCATAATTCAGGAAGTTACAGTCCGATATGCGCGAATATCGAAAGGAACCAAGATCTTTGGGTTATAAACTTACATTTCAAGTTTCAACAAAATCGGATAAAAATTGTGACCTCTATAGGGTCCACAACCTTGATATACCATATTATTACGCTATTTGAGAACGAAGGGCGGCCATTTTGTCTGTCAGTTTTAGGCCAATTTTCATGAAATTCGAACTCAGCCGTCCTTAGGGTGTAACGGTGATATAATAATAAGTTTTTTCAAATCGGATAAAAATTATGACCTCTATAGGGTCCACAAGCTAAAAACGCGATTTTTCGTACAATCTGGGGCCATAATTCAGGAAGTTAAAGTCCGATCTGCACAAATATCGAAAGGAACCGAAATCTTTGGGTTATAAACTTACATTTCAAGTTTCAACAATATTGGATAAAAATTGTGACCTCTATAGGGTCCACAACCTTGATATACCATATTTTTACGCTATTTTAGAATGAAGGGCGGCCATTTTGTCTGTCAGTTTTGGGCCGATTTTCACGAAATTCAAACTCAGCCGTCCTCAGGGTGTAACGGTGATATAATAATATGGTTTTTTAAATCGGATAAAAAAATATGACTTCTATATGGTCCACAAGCTAAAGATAGGTTGCCAGGCAACGAAACATACGCCCACAGCAACTAAATCGTCCGGGCAGTCAACAAGGGTTGTCGCATATTTTTACTTTTTTCGGTAATTAAACATTTATAATACACTAAAATCTGATTAAGAGTAACAACTCGCGGAGTAATTATCAGAAAACTATTAGATTTTGTTTGGTTTTTATAAAGTTCTGCCCCATGCTAACGTTTTGTATGCAAAGCTTTAAATATCATGGATTTAACTGTTCAAGTCATTAAAATTCATTGAAAATCAATATACTTGTTCGTCTCAAGATCTTAAACTCTGTGTATCAATCTGAAGTCAATCGGATGATAACTTTAGCCTTTAGAGCGTCACAAGATTTTGCAAAGTGATTAAGGGCCATAACTTTGGCAGTAATTATCGGAAATCGTTGAAAATCAATAAGAATCTTCGTCTCATGACTTCAAACACTGTGTATAAATTTAAACTCAATTATCGGAAATCGCTGAAAATCAGGGGTCATAATTCAGGAAGTTATGGTCCGATATGCGCGAATATCGAAAGAAACCGAGATCTTTGGGTTATAAATTTACATTTAAAGTTTTAACAAGATCGGATAAAAATTGTGACCTCTATAGGGTCCACAGGCTAAAAACGTGATTTTTCGTACAATCAGGGGCCATAATCCATGAATTTTCGATACGATACATGCCAATATCGAAAGCAGCCAAGATCTTTTGGGGATAAACCTATATTTCAAATTTCGGCAAAATTGGATAAGAATTGTGACCTGTAGAGAGTCCACAACCAATTGTGGACGGACAGGGGCGACGGCATAATACGTCCACATGAAAATGTGGGCGTTGTTACCCATACAGGGTCCACAACCTTGATTTACCATATTTTTACACTATTCGCGTACAAACGGCGGCCATTTTGTCCGGCAATTTTGGTCCGATTTTCACGAAATTAGAACTCAACCTTTCTTAGGGTGTAACGGTTGTATAATAATACGTTTTTTTAAATCAGATAAAAATTATGACCTCTATAGGGTCCACAAGCTAAAATTGCGATTTTTCGTACAATCAGGGGCCATAATTCAGGAAGTTACGGTCCGATATGCACGAACATCGAAAGGAACTGAGATCTTTGGGTTATAAATTTACATTTATAGTTTTAACAAGATCGGATAAAAATTGTGACCTCTATAGGGTCCACAAGCTAAAAACGTGATGTTTCGTACAATCAAGGGCCATAATCCATGAATTTTCGATCCGATACATGCCAATATCGAAAGCAGCCGAGATCTTTTGGGGATAAACCTATATTTCAAGTTTCGTCAAAATCGGATAATAATTGTGACCTGTAGCGAGTCCACAACCTTGATTTACCATATTTTTACACTATTCGCGTACAAACGGCAGCCATTTTGTCCGCCAATTTTGGTCCGATTTTCACGAAATTCGAACTCAACCTTCCTTAGGGTGTAACGGTGATATAATAATACGTTTTTTTAAATCAGATAAAAATTATGACCTCTATAGGGTCCACAAGCTAAAATTGCGATTTTTAGACAATCAGGGGCCATAATTCAGGAAGTTAGGTTCCGATATGCGCGAATATCGAAAGGAACCGAGATCTTTGGGTTATAAGCATACATA